GCCCCTAGTAGCGTCCTTGCTCCTAGTAGTAAGGCCAGGAGCCCCTACTTAGTAGCTTCTTGTTCCTAGTAGTAAGGCCAGGAGCCCCTAATAGCGTCCTGTTCCTAGTAGTAAGGCCAGGAGCCCCTAGTAGCGTCCTTGCTCCTAGTAGTAAGGCCAGGAGCCCCTAATAGCGTCCTGTTCCTAGTAGTAAGGCCAGGAGCCCTAGTAGCTCCTAGTAGTAAGGCCAGGAGCCCCTAATAGGCATGCGCAACAAATCTACACAACCCTTGTAAATATGTGTGCAACAAGCATATGAGGCCATATCATATAACCACCATGACGACTTGCAATCGATCCCACCCCTCAACAGCCCTTCCATATGTGGGCTTCTGTTGGGGAGATAATGTCCATGAAATAGCGTATATAAGCAAAATCTGTACAAGCATGAGCCCAAACTAACCCAATATTAAATATTCAATCACAATCCCACACTGATCTCATCTGATCTCCAAACCCTGATGTGTTTCCTTCGGTTGGCGGCCTGCGATCTGGAAATCGTCATGGCTCCGGAAGAAGTCTCCACCCCGAGAAACGAGCCAAACCTCTTGAGCCAACTGGAGGAAATGTTCAGGATGCTCATTAAACTAAACATGCGCAGAAAGTTGATGAAGTTGATCTACACAGCAGATTCATCAATGAACATATGGATCTTGGGCTGCTCTGGCGCGACACAATCTGAGTGACTTCTCCAAAATACCCTACTGTACGTTACATCATCGTGTAAGTGTCCTATGTTGTGCAGTTGCTGAGCACTATTTGGCTTGGCCTTGCACAAAATTGGCTGACTTGTCAAAGCATCCTAAAGCGATGTCATCACACAATGATGGTCGTGAAGGCGGTCCCCGTTCGAACCTAAATTTCGCAGCCAACCGTTTTCATGTGCCTGTTCGCTTGCCTTGGTATCTCCACGCGATGGAGGCAGTTCTTGGTTCAATAAAAGGGGCCACGGAGCGCCGGAATCTCCACACTTCAGTGCCAACCAAATGCCCAGACCATGAGCACTACAGTAACTTTTTGTAATGTTATTGCATATACACGCACACACCCAGAACATATATATATAATATATATTATATAGAAGGTGCGTTCCAGGAGTTTCTTCCACAAAAGTACACCTGTCATCTCCTTCCGGCACGTCCTACGGCTAGAACGGCTTGAAGCACTTGGCTTAAGAGGACACGGGGTGGTACACCAGGGCTGTAAACGTGTACCAAGCCCTTGCACCTTCAGCTCAGCGATCCTTGGACATGCTCATCAAAATGTCCAGGACATACAAGAAAATGTTGACAATGTCCAGGTACAGCTGGATCGCACCTTCCACGTAGTCGTCCACCTTCAGCACGTTCGCAATGCGCCAAGTATCAAAAACCAAATATCCACAGAAGATGCCAGCTCCAAGGAAAGAGACCTGGGCTGTTCGAATGCTTCGACGCTGGCTGACATGGAAGGCGGCGGCTCAATGGTCGCAAACAGTGGAAAAAGTCACAGTATAGTTGGATCTCACTTTAGCTAGCAGCTAGAAAATCAACACTTCTCAGAACTGCGACTTGTTCACCAACCTTCAACACTTCTCAGAACTGCGCCAGGACACCCCAAGGTGCAAAGCACCTGTCTGCAAGGAGGAAAAGAAGATGCTCAAGAGGCCGAAGCCCAAGAGCCCGAAGGTCAAGGGGAAAAGAATGGCACCCAGGAAGGAAAAGTCTCTCTTCGATCCTCACCAGCGACTGGTACTCGTCACCCGAAGCGAGCACGCGTGCTGGTGGGTACTTCTTCGTGCTGGAGCATGCGTCATGAATGGATTTGAGATGACAGGGGGTCATGAGCATTGATACTCGCAGGAGTCTGGCAGAGAAAGCCATACAGTAAATGTAATGTGGGGTACCCATACTGGGAAACATACTGGATGGACCTATGGCATGAAGGGGTCTGTGAAACAAAATTGCTTTGCACAAAAGATCCAACGAGAAGTGGCAAACCATGTTCATAGGAGCTCATCTGGGGTGAGAGTAGCGAGACCCCCCTGGACTGGAGCTCGCCTGTCTATATATATAGTATGACCACGAAAATGAACATGAACATTGGGAGCTCGTATGTCAAGGACCCCTGGCAAAGCACTGGTGCTTCACTGATTCACACCTCAACTTCTGCACGAGCTTCGGAATGTGTAGACTGTGAGGCCAAGCACCAAAAGGCCTGCTTCGGGAAGATTCTGGATATTCAAGGAACATCTCTGAGACGAGTTGGTGATGAAAAACAGTGTCCCTGGCTTTGAGTTCAGCTCAGGACTCTCCATTTCAACCTCCTCAAGCACCAGCTTTGCACTCAAATCCACCCTTCGAGGGTCGCACCTGTGATGAGTGCAGCCTGAACCACCAAGGCGCCCATGCCTGCCGCTGCGACCATGCCACAAATCACCCCAACATTCAAAGCCATGACCTCAGTGTCGAGCCATATCCTCTGACACAAAGATACCAAAGCTTGAGCCGGCCAGTTTGCGGCTAGCGCCATTGTAAGCACCTCCCCACAAAGCAAGTCATCCAAGGAAACACCTAACAACTCATCCTAACAACCGAAGTCATTCAGCAAAGCAGCTCCGGTGAGGAAGGCAAGGCCATAGAAGTTCAATGGGTAGCCTCACTTCACTAAGTTCTCTTTAAAAGGCACAGAAAATCCTGATCCACCTGCATTAGCTTTGGCTTCAGGCAGCAATCTCCAATGCATTTCGATGCGTTGCATGTAGTTGAAAAAAAGAAGAGGTTACTTTTGAGTGAACAGCTCTGCCAAATCACTCTTCTTTCCACCCGCGCACAGGGCCATAGCACAAATCAGGGCAATCAACGAGCCCCAGCGATAAGCACTGGGGTAGTTCCTGGGCCGGAGACACAAGGAATCGCATCTGGTGGGTTCCATTGATACTGCCTTTGATGGCAGGGAAGCTCTAAATAGGTCCTCGTCAGCAAAACGGCATTTTTTATTTAATTTGGATAGTTTGGATATGTTTGGATAGATCATTGCAGCTCCACATGGGGACGCTGCAGCCTAGTCACTCCACCATACTCCGTCCTAGCCAAACCATGCATACCCGTAGCCAAGGGGCCTCAGCAAGCTCAGCACTGCTGGCTGCAAAGGCCCGCAGCACAATGCAGCCACAAGTGCCGTGGACAGCACTTGGGTGCATACAATGCCATAGACCTTCTGGATGAAGCCTGTCACATAGTCCACCGTGATCCGGGAGCGCCAACAACCGTTTTCACACCACCTGGCCTAGGCGAACTTGACGGGCGCTGATGCCGTAGAGGTTGCGATTGCCATGTCCGCACTCAAGGTCCATGGTGACTGTGGACCGGACCGAAAGAACCGTCTTGGGCGTTTGAACCGTCTCTGCAGATCTGCCGAACCGAACTTGGTCTGGTGCCAAGCAGAAAAACACCCACAAAACCCAAGCTCATCCAGGAGGTGTTTAGAGGCTCAGGTAGGTTGAAAAGAATGGTGAATCCATGTGGATCCCTTCATCCTGAACACATGATGGCACACACACACACACACATTCCTGTCCCTCACGTGGTCTGTGGAATGATGCCCCATGCGCACCAAACATGTCCAGACCAGGCACCAAGTCTTTTTCGCTGCACATCATCACACCAGCAAATATCTCAGCATAGCCGGCGAGTTTTGCTGAGTGTCCCCTTTCCGATGTGTCATGAAGTCTCAGGGGAAGTTGATGACGCTGGGCCGCCCGCAGTTCAAATGAGAAAGGCACCAAGATGCGGAAGAAAGAACTGCCAGATATGACGACGGTGTGCTTTTGTATGAATACGACTCAGTCATTGTTGGTTTATAATCTGCCCTAAGATTAAGACATATTCGACACTTGCGCAGCACATGTGATTCAACTGGATTCACAGCAGTGCTTCAATCATGGATATCATTGGGCATCTATATAAGACTTTGTGGGCAGGCTTGCAGTGGTGAGGACATTGGAAGCCCTATGACATCCTATATGACTATGGCACCTTGTTCTGAGGACTAGTGATCATGAGCCCATGTTTGTCATCGGGAGAGGGGTCGTTTTCGAAACGATAAGTTCCTCGCAACTGCCAGCTGCACGCATCAATCAGTGCTGAGGAGGCCGGCTTCAAATGAGCGCAACCCATCTTGATCACATGCCTCTTACACCCCTGACTCACTAACATGGAAGTGGAGTTCACCCCCTGTTTGTAAGGGTAGTCTTCCAAGGGACCATGTCACCTTCCATCTTAGAAAGTCAGAGGGTACTTGGAATCAGAATGGAGCACTGCGGAACTGCAGTGTGTGCCTTCCAGGATGGCACGTCGATCAAGACGAGCAGGAAAAGCAAGGCATAGCAAGGCTTTTGGGGCACAGTACAGGCCCCGACCAGTCAAACTGGCCATGTTAGAAACTGCCTGTCCTCTGTCCTCTGCAGTTACCTATGGCCTATGGCCTTTGCAGAGATCATGCGCCCTCTTCATCCTCATCCTCTTCCTCTTGGGCCTCCTTTTTCTTCTGCCAGCCCTCGTCTTTTCCTGCAACATTCAAATACTGAGCTCCGACCCACTACAGAAACAAGACATCGCCAACACATGCCAACACTATCATCAACTCACCAGGCAATGCGCAACACCCAACCAAAGAAACCCTCATTTGCCAAAAGCAAATACAACAAATGCCCATCCAGGGCATTTGTAACCGGGCCTCGCCTCCCAATGCCACCCAGTGGTCTCTGGCAGCTGCGCGGACCACCGCCACTTGGTCGTTGCATAAGATCTTCAGCTGCTCAGGTGGCGCGCCGCTCTTGTGCTGCTCCCGCAGGACATGGATCGCAGCCAAGCGTGCCTCGTCTCAGTTCAGGTGCAGACTCTCGTCCGGCTCCGCGGTGGAGGTGAATGCTGGGCAAAGTCCCCTCCCCTGGCCCAGGCCATTATCTAATCGTATCTAAACCACAAAATTGAAGTTGGGAGGGCATGTTGAAGCATTCTTCTTGTGGCGGGGACCCCCGGTGCCGGACCTCAGGAAGAGATGAAGCACAAAGACTTTTCAGGGCTTCTTCTGGCATAGCTTTGCTCACGGCCTGGCAGGGCCAGGATAACTGAGAAACAATGGAAGCTCCAGACTCTCTAGATCTGATGAACAGTGATAAACAATTGACCCCTTGGGTGAGACGGATGGTGAAAACAAGAAAGGCCACATGCGACGAAGCGATTTCTTACAGCACAAGAGGAGGCCAGCATCTTGAAGGCGAGTCTCGTTGTCGCAGGACTCGTGTTTTCTGTCAAAGACTTGTCTCAAACATCCAGCCTGAGAGAATTTGGGAAGTTCCAAGCCGTTGGCTTCACCTCAGCACATTGAAAATCAGTATCTGAGTGATTCTGAGTGAAGTTTTGGCAATATTATGTCCAAGCCTTGGAGCATCAAGACCCCATTAGCAGCTCATAGCTAAGCACTAGTAATCTCAATGTGACTGCCTTTGCTTTTGGCAGTCTGTTGCCAAACGTCATTCGCGACTACAAACGTTAAACTAAATCCCAAACATCCCGCAAAGTCCCTCGTATGGTTCTATCATATTCTATGGATCAAATGGATCAAATGTTGGAAGATGAAGAATCCCCACGGACATTTGGCGTACGCTTGGAACACCTCTTGGTCTTTTGTCCACGTTCCATGTCTGCGCTCCGCCCTCAGCCAAGCTCTGAGCATAATTTGAGCAAGGTCTTGAAGTCCTCGCTCTGAGGTTTGTCGCGCGTGGTTTGAATGAGGTTGGGCCACAGGCGCACTGCATCCTCTGGAGAGCTCCTATGGCAGGACGTGTTTTTCAGTGCTGAAGGCACTGGAGAGGTGGCGCTGTTCAGTGAACCCGCCAACAACATGCATCAAACCTGCATTGGTCAAAAATGTGCAAGAGTTTCTGGAGAGGAGTTGAGCCAAGTTCTTATGCGGCTACACCACAACTGCCAAAGTGTGCCCTACTCTAAGCAAGATACGTGCAAACCATGTACCTAGCTGAAAGAAAGGACGCGGCCCTTTTGCAAATGCGATTCGGCTCTGTGCGCACCTTGTGCCGCGACGGCGTCGGATCATTTGACTCAAGTGCTGGGGTTCCTCTTGGGGTCTTGACTGAACTTCACATTCCCAATACTTTGTTGAGTCAAATGGGCCTTCGCTGCATCACGGAGCTGGATCCATGGCCTGTACAGCCAACCAACGAAAGTCTCCAGCAGCTTGTCGTTGAGCTTCGTTAGGGCGTCTGCCCATTGCAAGGTCGTGGGGACCCAGAAGATGTCCTCCCTGCCCACGAACTGTTGCATCCCCCTGACCACAACTATGGTCCTCTTGTCTTCTGTACGGGGGTTTTCGCTCACGAGGATGTCGTATAGACTGCGACAGTCCGTGACAGCGATGATCCTGTGGACCCTGCTCAGCGTGAAGCTTGGTTGCTTCTGCAAGACCTCTGCAAGCATGTAGGCCAGAAAGGAAGCTCGGTCGATGCTGGTGTCAGCGGCACTCGACTCTGCCGACAAGGTGGATCGACAGATCCTTGCGGATCGTGAACTCTTCCAATCCAACAGAAGCCCTTGGCTCACGGTGTCGGTGGCCTTTGGTTCAGCCAGCATGATCAATGAGCCATGCTGTGAGGCTGATCCAGCTGCGTTCGCCCAACTGCTGTCCGAAAAACTCACAACCAATGTATGTGCATTCAATGCAACAGGCCACATGTTGATCCCAACTTCACTGCTCTGGTGGAGGTGCTGTACTGCATTGTACATGTTCTGGAGGTCCTGGTAGGTGGACTTGGTACCTTTGCTGCACAATGACACCGTGCTGGCAATGTCTGGACGTGTTTGTCCTGCCAGCCACTGCAAGCAACCCGCCACACTGCGGTACTCCGGAAGGTCTTCCGGCTTCAGCGTCTCCTCCAAGCGTCCTTTGCAGCGAACATTTCCAACCTGCATGCCAGCAATGAAACTGCTCTGTGTGAGGGACACGTAGTACTGCTTGCCATCATGTCGGAGGTGAATCTCCTTTCCCTTGAAGGTCAGGGAGTTGGTGACTGACAAGGTCTTGTGCCCCACTTGAACAGGTCGGTGAGTTCTGCCCAGTTCCAACCCTGCTTGTGACACAACAGGAAGTCGTCCACGTAAGCCACGAGGATGGCCACAAGTGACTCATGCTGATCTCCTGGCAGCTTGCTGTGCTTGAAAAACAGCATCTTGTCCAACGTGTGCTGTTGGAAGCCTGCCTCATTGACCAATGTCTTGACGACATGCATGGTCCATGTGCGTGGTGCACTGGCAAGTCCGTAGATGTTGCCAACTATCTTGTAGAGCGGAGCCCGGAATGTTCCAGCAAGGGAGGTCACTCCGTCCTGTGGCGGACGCAAAAAGAGTGGTAGCTTCCGGGGCTCTGGAGTGCCCTGCAAAAAGGCGGTCTTGATGTCGCCGCACCACAAGTGCCAACT